AGAATTGATAAGATAAAGAGTTGAAGGTGCAGTCGTGATAAAAAAAAGATAATTATTTACCATCAAGTAGTTTTTATTTTCAATTACTTGAGGAAATATTACACATTAGTTGTTTTCACAATTATACGGAATTTATAAAATTAATCCTATATTAGTGATTCAAAAAGATAAATATGTTAACTACGCATATTTACAACAAACTGAAAGTTATTCTAAAAAACGATGATTACAATTACAATTAATTTATTTCCAAAGCGCTATATCCCGCAAAGGATACTTGCGCCAAACAAGGAGAAAAGTTTATTTACATAAGTTATTTACATTATTCAACGCATGAAAACATTAGAGATCTAGATTTTGTAGAAAGTTTAGAATGTATTTACAAAATGAATTGAACTTTAAATATGATTTTTATCGGAAATCAAATCGTTAAGTTCACAAACAACTAGTTCATTCTTCATTCTATAATCTTGAAATGCTGGTAAATCGATCAGTAAATGTCTTGAGGTTTGTTCCTCAATACCACAAAGCAACTTGAATCCTCCACTGCCTTTATTCTATTTTAAAAACTTTTGATATTTCCGTGGTTTGTAACAAATTAAGTATAATAAAAAGTTGAATTATCAATGAATAAAAATAAAATAATATATATTTAAAAATATAGAACAATTTGAAGTTTTAGAGTATATAATATATATATTCTCTCACAATCTTTCAGGTATCATAAACATTTCTACAGGAATGTATGAGAGACAAAATGAATATTAATCTTAATAAATTGTTGAAGATTAAGATTTTCATTTCGTCATATTGTAACAAAGTATTTATTAATTTTATTATTTTTATTAACAGAGTGGTCATTTTTATGTTTATATTTTGCTACTCTGTAATTTCCCTCGTGGCTTATCTTTTGTTTACTATTCATAGTTTGTCCTTTTCTGAAATAAATTGTTGCCTCCTCCTGAAGTTTTTGTCTTCCCTAATTTTCCACGTGGCAATATACTCCTGTAGAAGGGTTTAAAATAACCGAAAGCCGAGAGAATATATAAATAAAGCAGGAAAGCTATCCTTTCGAACGTCGTTTTTATCATTATTAACATTTCTCTCTCTCTCACAGATCATTTTATTACTTTAAAGAAAAGGTTTTACAAATAATGGAAATCAGGAGTTAATTGTTTATAGTATTTAAAAGAATTGCAATGAAATAAAATAAACATAGTAAAGAGTGACTCTCTAAGATTAATAACTATATATAAAGGTAACAATCAATCTCAAAGTATAGTTATCACTTCGCTTCATAGAAATTAAAGGGAGACGGATTAACAATAGCAGCCGAGAAATAAGCATATCCAATTAAAAATGAGAAAACATAACCAAAGAGATAACATAAAAGTATATTGAGCTAATTGTTGTTTTACAACGTATTGATAAATCATTGATCATTGGAATATTAGTCAGAATTTATATTGGAGAACAAGCCATTTTAGGCATCGATTTTCTAAATTGGATCCTTTCATTTATATTTTTATTTTCTATATGTTGCCTTAAGATAGCCACATTTTATTTAATAAATAGAAAAGAGTCAATACAAAATTATTTCCTACTAATTTATATGCGAAAGTATTCTCTGCAAATTATATAATACTTAATAATATAAAGGCATATATTGGATTTAAAAAAAATATTTATTTACCAATATTTCGGTTGGCTGAACGCCAAACCTTTATCAAGGCATTACATTTTGTATAAACAAACTCAGCGCCGCATAGTGGTATAATATCACAGTTGTATTAAATTTAAAAATACAAAGTATAGTTGGGGGAAATTTGTGAATGCAAAATTATTATAAAATTATATTTCCAAATAAATATTTTTTCAAATCCAATATATGCCTTTTCATTATCTAATGATTTAAATATGGATTGCTCTATTTTCAAAAAAATATATATAATATGTTGTTATATATATTCTATATTAATAAAAACATCAACATAAGCAATTATATCGAAAAGATATCATATTATTATCCCAACTCTCTTTAAATTATATAGATATAATAATGAAGCCACAAAATATAAGATTATTTTCTTATGCGAAATAATTTTCCTAATTTAAAAATAATATTCTTTAAGCAATTAGGAAACGAATAAATAGTTTTCATATTTAGAGAGGCAGTAAAGTATAATTACTTTTAAAATAACTCTCATTTTTTCTCATTATTATAATTTATTTATAAATCTACTTAAACATTAGAGGAACATTATTTCAAAAATATTTATTTAAGCTTTTGATTCTAAGAATAAATGTTTAAATAATGACGATCTCTCACACAAAAAAAGTAATAAATTATAAAATATTTGTGGAAACATATTTTATAAAGAATTTAAATATATTTATATATACTTCCTACATTGCTATTATATTCTATAACAAAAGAGATCATTATTTATAAATTGACGCTAATATATGCTCTATGAAATAAAATATTTCAAAATAACAACAAACAATTTTTTAAAATGTTTTATTTTCTATTAAAATTAATGTTTTATATAAAAATACTAAATTAATTTTCGATACATTTTATAAAGTTATTCTTATAATATTTTATAAAGGAAGCCAAGCGAAAAAATGTGTAATTTGAGAAACAGACGAAACAATAAATTTGAGAAAGACGTCTCGTCTGACTGTATAAACATGGAGAGAAAAGTAAATGTCGTAAGAGACATGTTGGTCAAGGATTAACAAAGTTGTTCTGTGTGTCACATCAGCTTGCGACAACGTCTGCCTTAAATCCCTTTTTTAAAACAATTTATTTTAGGACAGTAGCCAAATGTAAACGAATTGTATTTTTTTTTTATTACTTTATATTAGATGTGAATTCAATTTTAAGAGAAGAGAGATAAATAATATTATTGTGTAAATAATATCAACAAAATAAACATTTGTTTGTGTATGTCAATATTTGAAGTAGTGATAGTGCAGAAGATAAATTGAACATAAACTATAATGTGTTCTCTGCAAAGAATTTTATTGCAGGTGAATTTTGATTATTTGTAATTGAAATGATCAAATTAGTAGTAAAATGGTATAGGTTTGATTTATATTTAATTTAGACTCTATTATTTTATATATAGCTACGACCTTTTCGAGGCGTAGGCGGTAAGAAGCAGAGCTCTTAGCGAAGATGACGTTGTGTATTTGCGTCATCACTGTGGGAATTGATCCCTCAGACAATTGGTGTTGTGGGGAGCTTTAGTAACATGTCTTTTAATAATGCTTCATATATAGTAGTCGAGGGGGATACATTCTGAAGAGTTATGGAGTCAGAAATCGAGACTCCTGTAGATGGGGACGTTAGTCTCATTCATGCCTACATATAACCAGCCTTTTGAACTGGATTTAAGCCCTATTGGGTGAATCACTTTCTTCTTGCGGCCATCATGTCCATTCAGAATCTTCACGAGGTTGCTCTACAAGATATGTACACTACAAGTAATATAAAGAGATGGTGAGGGATGACAACGCCCTCACTGTCGATGAAGCCAAGGATCATCATGGAGGCAGTAAATCTCATGAACATCACTACACATACATACGAGGAGTCTTTACAGTTTAACGATCATTTTGGTGATTCAATTGTTTGTCCATGTAAATATTCTTTACAACAGAGAAAAATTTCAACATGTTACAAGAGTCATATTTCAGCCTTTTTAGGAGGGCAGCAACCTTTTTACTTTTTATATTTCCTGTTATAGACTCAATCAGAAATTTCCAAGTGGCATCGGACTTCAGACTAAGGTTTTATTTAACAATTTTCCAAGAGTAAACTCTCAACTTAATGGCTATGGCCTTTATTCTCTTCCCAGAATCTTCCTAATTCTTCTCTCTGCCATTTTGACATATTTTCAGTCCATTACATCCTTTACTGTATGATGAACACGATTGAAATTTTCTTGCATGTGTTCCCTCATTGCCCTTGAAACCTTTATCAAACTTCTTTTTAACCCCATTAACAATGGTTGATGTCAGATTAAGAAATTCCATTATATCTTTTGAAAATTTACTGATGTTTAGAGAAATGAAGGCAGCTCGATTTCCGTATTACAGATTATTATTCATCGAAATACACATGTGCTGCTATATTTTATACTAAAATATGTGTGTCTAGCTACAGAGAGATAGAAAATATAAATATATAATGTACCATTAGTTTTTTATGGGCTGCCAAAGTTTGTTCTAAACTATCTGTTACATCTTGTAGTTTTTGTTCCTCGAATATCTGAACTATTAGTTGGTGATTAAGAGGTTTGCTGGTTGGTTACTTTATCGAAGGGAAATCTCGAGAGAGAGTCATCCATTTATAACATCGCTATAACTATCTTCTATTTAGAAAATATATGTTGATAAACCAGTTACATGCTTTAAGAATTCTTAGGAAGTGTTTGCCATATTAGCCAAAATATCGGCCAGAAATATTTCTTGAAAGCTGTAAGATTCAATAGAATGAAAGTTCCTCAGGAATAAGCATCAGTGATGACATTTTTAACTGTTCTTTTGCTTCAATTCCTCATATATATTCATCAATTTTTCTATTATCGTAAAGATAGAGGCTGCCTTGCCGGTATTCATAGTCTTCTCTAGTTGCCTAGCCATCTTGAATACCTCGAGATTTTTGTCGAAACGTCGAGATAATAGAAAATATTTACTGGCCGAAGTATCTTATAATTTTTAACGCTCTGTAAACACTTGGTCTTTTAAAAGTATATCTTAATATTATTTAAAGTTATAGCATACTATAAGAAATATAAGCTACTAGACGAATGGCCCGGGCAACGCCCGGGTTTTACCCGAGTGCGTATATATTTTAAAAATGTTTTAATTGAAATACTATTCGTTACAATTATAAATTGGCGCCGTGGATGTCTCTTTTGTGAAACGTCCCGCCCCAAACTGTGTGTGTCTTGAAAATATAAAAATAAAAATGTGAACGGAAAAATATGTCCAGGGTAGCCTAGTGGTCATGGCATCTGCCCGGTAAGCGGAAGGTCGTGGGTTCGATTCCCATCCCTTGAAGCTTTTTTATTTTATCCATTCTGACCAAAATCTATCCGTGAACTTCACACAGTGAACTTCACACAGACAGAATAAGGCAATTATATAAGTAGATAATCCAAATTGTGCCTTATCACACACTTTTTTTTATTTGGCCTTATTACCTTGTGTTTATGATCTATGACGTAATGCCGGCGGCGCGCGCCCGTTGGCTGCCGGCGAGCACGTGACCTCCCTGTGCGCGCGCATCCGTGACAGAGGCGGCCGATGAGGAATGAGGAAAGACGGTCGTGACTATATATATATATGTGGTAAACCCGATGTGGAATGTGCTGGGCAGTCGTGGTAGTGGGTGCGTGATGGGATTCCCGCACTGGGACAGCAAGAGACAGAGGCAGGTCTAGATGGTAACTTCAAGAGGAAGAGGTAGACCACGGACGAAGGTAGTCGAACCACGGGTGTCGCGGATGCCTACATCGCGGATAGGGGTGAGAAATCCGACCGTATGACGGCGTCGTTCTGAAAACAACTAACTGAATAAAAATCCTTTTGTCCCATTTCTGGGCTCTTTATATACTCTGGGACGCTCGCATATGTGGCGATTCCTCATTGGCTACTGTAATCACGTTACTTTATGGCGCCAGGTTGTTTTTCGTCTGGCCTTTGTCGTCTCTGGTCTACCTCCTCTTTGTTTTATTGTCACTTCCATTGTTCGATACATATTTTAATATATAGATATGGGGTTATATAATGAATATCAGAAGAAGGTTGTGAACCATATAACTCAAAATATACTACAGAATGTGCCCCCGGTGATGAAGGTTTGGTTGGGGGAATGACATGTAATGAATGATGACCTAACAAACCTATTATAAAAAATAAAAGAAATAATTTGTATACAAATTAGTTAAAATTATTATTAAGCTACAAGTTAAAAAGAGAAAGATGTCGTAATGGTGGTGTATCAATGAGAAAAAAAAATCAAGGTTATAAAAATAAAAAGGCACAAAATGAATGATACAAGATTAAGAGAAAGTATATAACACAAAATGGTAAATATGGTAAAATGAATCGTACAAGGAAAATAATATCTTATTGCATTAAAGATGAGAGGAGAAAAAAAAAGTTAACTTATTGATTGAACATATAATGTGACGCTAAGGTTGAAAAGGGGGAAAGGGGGTAACTGAGCATGTTTCTGCAAAGTGTATCCCAAGCATTCTGCAATGCAATGCGAACTTGTTCAAGTGAGGCATTGTTTTCATTAACAGAAGGCCCAAGATATTCCGTCTGCATCATTAGCTCAGACAGTGAAAAGAGGTGGGAAGATTGGTGGAGGTAAAAGGGAGAGGTAGAGGTAAGAGGGGTAAGAGGGATCCCTGTTGTCCATAATGATTGTGCCCGGTTGAATTATGAGAAAAAAAATGAAAAGTTAAAAATGGTGAATTGATATGATGAGTCGGGCGATGAGAAAAAAAATAAAAATATCGCGCTGGATATCCTGAACTCATTATGGGGAATGGGTATAACGAGGAAGGATTGTTCCAGTCGGATTAATCAATGAAAAAAAAACAAAAATGTTCGGCGAACTGGAATCCCTTGGAAGGTAGTTGGAGGTTTGAAGGATGTGGAAAAGGAGAGGTGGGTGTAAGAGATCCATTGCTGTCAATTTTGATTGTGTCCGGCTTGTGTGGTGAAAAGAAAAAGTTGAAAAATGAAAAAATGATGAGCCGGACGATGAGAGGAAAAAAAAATCTAACAGGGTCTCCTGAGCTCACTGTGGGGAAATGTACAGCGAGGAAGGGTCTTCTAGTTAGTTTAATCAATAAAAAAAAAAAGAAAATGGCTGACGAACAATAATCTCTTGATGGATGTAAAAAGTTGGGAGGAAAGGTTCATGGGATAGAGTTAAGAGGTTGTAAGGGAAGCGTCAAAAATAACATTTTGAAAATCTATTAAGAAAAATAAAATGATAAATGTTTTATCTGTTTAAGAAATATTATAAATATTGTTAGGTGTAGGTTTTTTAAAATGGTGCCCAAAATAGTTGAAGTTGTTAAATTCTAATTCTAAACATGATGAGAAAAAGAAAAAGAAAAAAAAAATTATATTAAAGGTAATAATATATAAAGGGTTGATTGGTAGTTGAAGACATTAATAAACAAAATTATATCATCGATTAATAGTGAAATGTTTTATCTACATCTGTAAGTTAAAAAACAAAGTCCAACACCACAAAACTAGGTAAGCTGTAAGTCTATTTGTAAATAAATGAGAGAAAAGCTAGCAAACCTATTAAATGGGAAATAATTTGGGGCACAAATTAGTTACTAGAATAAAAATAAAGATAAAGGGGAGTAGTGACACACTGATATAATATTATAAAACTACAAAAAATATATAAGAGGAGTACATAGGAAGGATAAATTTAAAGTAAACACACACAATAGCGAAAATAAATATTTGGGAAAGTTGGTATACTAGTTACAGTTTTTTGTTACTTAAGGTGCCTTAAGTATTTACAACATAGTTTCAGGGATGTAATACAGGAAGGAGGAGAAGTAGAGATAATAAAAGTAATATAAAATATAAAAGAAAATTGACTTAAGCAAAAGGTTTGCGATAGGCAGTGACGCAGTGAGGAATAAAGGAAGAAGGTCTGAATTGGTTTCTCAAAGGACATCTCAGGAGTCCTGCCCTGCAATACGAGCTTAGAAGCGAAGTATTGTTTTCAGGGTTCAGCAATCTCAAGATGTTCAGTAAGTAGCATTAGATCAGATGGGGAAGGTAGGTAAGTTGAAAGAGTAGAATTGGGAAAAGTGGAGTCAAGAGTTGTCTGTTGCCAATGATGATTGAGCTCGGATTAAAAGTTTGGAAAAAAAAAGTAATAAAATGGTAAAATGATGGTTGTGATGATGATCCGAGCGTTGAGAAAAAAAAAAAAAAAAACTCGAACTGGTCGCCTGAACTCATTGTTGGGAAATGTACAGTGAGGAAGGTAGAGCCAGCTGGTTGAATCAAAATAAAAAAAAATAAAAGTTTGTTTGGCGATCAGGAGACTCTTGACTGCGGGAAATATGGAAGGTAAGGAAGGTAAAGGATACTGTTGCCAATGATGATTGAACAACCCGACATAGTTGAATGTAATGAATGATGTTATCGGTGATGATAAAAAAAAAAAAGAAATAATCTTTGGATTTCCTGATCTCGTTATCGGGAATTGTATACCGAGGAAGGATGGTCCAATAGATGAATTAATAAAAAAAAAATAAAATGGGTGGCAACAGGAACCCTATGGAAGACTATGAGGTTGAGAGGAGGTGGGTTAAGGAGGTGTGAATAAGTGGTATAGGATGGGAAGATAGGATCGAGAGAGAGAGGCGTCAATATGAGAAAATAATAATAATCTAATAAAAAACAATGATATCAGAAATAAGACGATCTTAAGGTATTTTTAAAAATATATAAATGTTATATAAAAAACTCAAATGATGTTTAAAAAGCGTGAATTTGTAACGTTTTAGAATCTATATATGCTGACAGATGAAAAAAATAGTCGAATAGTAGTATTCCAAATGATTGCTGATGGTTGAATATTCTAAGATATAAGGAGCAATGACAATAATAACTATATAATAATGTTGGCTTGGATTGTTTCTAATGGCTGAGTGGTCGAGGTATAGAAAAATAAAATAAAGACATATAGCATACAAATATAAAAAAGGTGATAGCTTGATGGATGGCATTGGCGAAGATGTTTTGTTCTAGTATTGATAGGGGGAATTTTCAAACGGGTTGACAAAACGATAAACTATCCTATAACATTATAAAAATAAGATTTGCTATAAAAGGGATTTTATATAATTTTCCTATCCGTTTTAATCTGGCAGGTTATTTGGTGGACACGAAGATCTAGTATACCCGGTGTGCCAATTGCACGTGTTTCAAGTACAGGTGAACTGAAACTGGAGAGGTCAACATGGCCGCCCCAATCCTTTGTTGCCGGCTGACGCTGCTGGTGTTATTTGTTTTTACTGTCAGTCGATCCCATGTCTGGCCACGTCCCGAGTTAGGTTATGTCTTTTTCTGATTGGGCGCTTACACAATGTAACAGGACGTTTTAGGTTATTCAATTGGTTATTTGAAAGATATCGTTTTCTACTTTCTATTATATTGGGGTTTAGGTGGTTATTTAAGTCTGAGGGGATTATTAGCGGTGATTAGGTTTTTAGAAAAATTATAAAATAATGAATTTACGAAATTTTTAAAGAGAAAAGGTTATGGCATGGGTACAAAATACGATAGAGTTTCGTAAATAACAGTTTAACGCAGGTAGGAATGAAATGCAATGGGGTATGGAAATTTTAAGGTATGATATTTAGTTTTCGCATATTACATTTATAGTTGTATTTGTAATTGTGGGAAAAATGGGAGGCACATTTTGAGATGAGATAATTTAAAATTGATACTTATAAAAATACAAATCTAGGACTAGTTTTTAAAACTTTTAAAAATTGAGAAATATCAATTGAAATAGTAATAGGTCAATTAAAATAAAGAGTGTAATAATTTTAATTATTAATACTATGGCCACAAATAAGGTATTAAAAAAATAACACAAATGAGTTTAGAAAATATGATTCGAGTAATTAAAATATAATATGATTTTTTTATGTAAAATTTAAAGTTGCATATTTGGATAATGCCATTTTAGGTGAATTTAAGAAAGGTATGTAAGATTAGTAAATTGGCAAAAATGCGTGATTGAATATTTTTAATAATAAAGTTGAAAATGATGAATTAAAGTTTATAATTTGATTAAAATAAGGTAAAAATGATAAATGAGAGTGTAAAAGTTTTAAAAATTGAATAAAAATGCTATAAAAAAGGTTATAATTGATTTTAAAATGCTTAAGGTGAAAATATAAGAATAAAATTTATGGGGAAAATGGTAGAAACAAAGTTTAAAGTACCTTGAAATGGCTGATGCTGGCTGGAGTTGATCTCTGGAGATGGCTGTAT